TGTATATATATATGGTGATACTGTGTCCTGCAACTGCTGAAATTGTTTATTAAAGTTTTTTTTCAATGCATGGAATCTTTAGGGTTTTCTGTGTAAATATCGTGTCATTTTCCTTCATTTTATTTTATTTTGTTTAATTTTTCTGGCTTGGATTTCAGTACTGTATTGACTGTAAGTGGTAGGAGAGGGCAACTTTGCCTCTTCCTGATCTTAGAGAAAAATATTTTAGTCTTTCACCACTTAGTGTATTAGTTGTGGGCTTTTCTTCTAATTTATTTTTCCTTTTTGTTTTTTTGAGATTGTCTTGCTGTATAGCCCAGGCTGGCCTTGAATTCAGGGTGATCCTCCTGCCTCAGCCTCCCAAGTGCTGGGATTGCAGTCATGTGCTACCATGTCTAGCCAGTTGTGGGCTTTTCTTATATAGCCTTACTATGTTGAGATAGTTTCCTTGTATTCTAGGGCTTTTTTTCTTATTGTTATGGTGATACTGAGGATAGAACCTAGGGCCTCACATATGTTAGGCAAGAGTTCTACCACAGAGCTACACCTCTGCCCCCTTTGTCCCCCCAGTTTTTTATTTTGAGATAAGATCTCACTAAATTGCTTGGGCTGGCTTTGAATTTATGAATCTCCTATCTCAGCTTCCTGAATAGTTAGGATCACAGGCATGAGCCACCACACCAGGTTTGTTGAGTGTGTTTACCATGAAGGGGTGGTGAATTTTGTCAAATGCTTTAGTCCCTCCTTTGGAATGACTGCATGATTTTTGTCCTTTGTTCTGCTAGCATGGTATGTTATGTTATGTTCTTAACATAAATCATCCCATTTGATCACAGTGTATGAATGTGGTATTGAATTTGGTTTGCCTTTTTTCCCCTTTTCTTGTTTTTTCTTTCTTTTTCTTCTTTCTTCTTTCTCTTTCTTGTACCTGAGATCCAACTCAGGACCTTGCACTTTCGAGGCAGGTATGGTGGCACTGAGCTACATCCCTGGCTCAAGGTTTGCTCTTATTGTGTTGAGGACTTTTGCATCAGTACTCATGGAGGGTAAGGGTCTGCAGGTCCCTCTGGTGTCCTGGTCTGGCCTTGGTGGAGGATGGGTGTGCTAGCACTCCCTCCTCGGTCCCTAGCAAGGAGCACTGCTGCTGATTCCGGTTCGTGGTGGGATTCTTCAGGGAAGCGTTGTGCCCTGGGCTTTGGGGGTGTGTATGTGTGTATGTGTGAATTTTTGTTAGGTGTTTATGTTTACAGTATATAATGATTACATTCATCAGTTGGGAGGTTTGATTACTGCTTCAAGCTCCTTAACTAATTATAAGTCTGTTTAGATTTCTGTTTATTCAGGAACAAGTCTTGGAAGGTTGTGTTTCCAGGAATTTGTTCATTTCTTCTAGGTTATCCAGTTTGTATATAATTCTTCATAGTATTTCTTAAAATTATTTTTATTTCTGTAGCATCAGTTATAATGTTTTCTCAATGATTTCAGTTATTTGAATTTTCTTTCTTTTTTTTTCCCCCTGTACAGGGGATCAAACTCAGGACCTTCTGCTTGCGAGGCAGGCATGGTGCCACTGAGCTAAATCTCTGGCCCCTTTCATCTTTTTTTTGTTTTGTTTTTGTTTTGTTGTTGTTTTTTTTTTTTTTTGTACCGGGGATTGAACTTGGGTCCTTGCGCTTGCAAGGCAGGCCACCGAACCGCTGAGCTAAATCCCCGGACCTGTTTGTTTGTTTTTTGAGACAGGGTCTCACTATGTAGTTGAGACTGACCTGGAACTCACTGTGTAGCCCAGGCTGGTCTGGAACTCACAGCGATCCTCCTGTCCCAGCCTCCCGAGTGCTGGGATTACAGGCGTGTGCCACCACGCCCGGCCCCTTTCATCTTTTTAATGTAAGCATTTACCACTTTAGCTTTTCTTTTCTTCTTTTTTTTTTTCCCTTTTGGTACCAGGGATTGAACTCAGGACCTTGCGGCTTGCGATGTAGGTGGTAGCACCACTGAGGTAAATCCCTGGCCCCCACTTTAGCTTTTCTATCTTTACTGCTCTTGCTGTATCCTACACATTTCAGGATGTTGTCATTTTCATTTATCTCCAGAGTCTTAAATGTAATTTTGATATTAAGGTTGTGTGGAATATAAAATGCTGTCAGGGGAATACAAGTAGGGGAAATAGCACATCTTGTTAAAGTAACAACCTAGCATGTAGATTTCTTTCTTTTTTCTCTCTCTCTCTTTCTTTTTCTTTTGGTACTGGTGATTGAACTCAGGACCTTGCACTTGTGAGGCAGGTGACCTCACAAGTGACCTGTGAGGCTCAGAACCACTGAGCTAAATCCTGGGCTCTAGATTTCTTATTTTTAAGGCTTCTCTTTGGATGTGCTTACAAAAAGGAGGCATTTTCCACCAAAAAAATCCTCTTTGTGCATTGAGCTAGGAGTAGTGAGCAAAAGAGGTACCTGTCTTATTGTGGGGAATGGTGGCACAAACCTGCAGTCTCAATGCTTGGGAGGCTGAGGCAGGAGAACTGTCCTGAACTCAAAGCCAGCCTGGACTACGTGGTGAGCTCCAGGCAAGGCAGGACTCTGAAGTAATAATCTGCCTCACAAAACCAGACCAAGACCAAATCCATTATGATGGATACTTGGATACTTTTGTGATCACCTGCCCTCTGAGCAAACCAGTGAGACCAGAGATGGAAGATGTTACCTCTGTCCTGAAGCTTTTGTCTTACATGAGGACAAATTGAGGATAGGGGAAATGTTTCATTAAGAGACTTTCACCGTTTTCTCCCGCTAGACACAACACCATCACTGGGCGGTGGCTGACCAGGTTCCAGGCCGTGTGGGACCCTAAGCAAGAAGACTGTGTCATCGTTGGCAGCATGGCCCATCCGCGACGTGTGGAGGTCTTCCATGAGACGGGAAAGGGGGTGCACTCCCTCCTTGGGGAGGGCCTCGGCTCTGTGTGCTCCATCAATGCCATGCACCCAACCCGCTATGTCCTTGCGGGGGGGAATTCCAGTGGGCGGCTGCACATTTTCATGAAGCCAGGAAGCTACTGAATTCTGGAGTAGGTTCACTGTTCAGATTGATCACTGTCAGAAGAACCCGAGATTCCTGTGGCTTTGTGTTATACTTGGTCATATGTTTTATTTAAGAAATACACAGTTGCTTGATGAATAAGAACCATGGGCAGGCCTGGTGGTGCGTGCCTGTAATCTCAGGGCTCTGGGAGGCTGAGGCAGGAAGATTTCAAGTTTTAGCCCAGGCTGAGCAATTTAGCAAGACTGTCCTCAAAATATAAAATAAAGTGTTGGGGATGTGGCTCAGTGCAGAGGTCCTGCCTGGGTTCAGTCCCTTGTACTACAAAAAACCCCCACACAAACAAACCCAAACAAAGTTCTAGGCAGAATGTACTTTTAGTAAAGCAGAAGCTTTTGGAAGTTTTCTGGGCTGGGAAGGGAATTAGGGCTTCAGCACTTTCATTAGGCAGCATGTTAAGAAACTAGCATGACAAATTGTAAAGCTTTGAATGATTAACTTTTTTTTTTAGTACCGGGGATCAAACTTGGGACCTTGCACTTGTGAGGCAGGAAGCAGCACCACTGAGCTAAATCCCTTGCCCTGAATGATTAACTTTTTGATAATTTAATGATAATGGTCTTGATCCTATAGTGATATATAGATAGGTTGGCTTATTTTAAAGTTTGAAGTTAATTATTTATTTCTAGACCCATTTACTGGAAGGGGTCCTAAAGGTGATTTTTGAAACTTTATTTTCATATCTGAGAATGTCTTTCTGCACCCAGCCTTTCCATGAAATCTTGGGTGAGTCCCAGGCGAGGTCCCAGGTGAGGTCCCTGGAGCAGGACCTGTGGGGCTGCCAAGATCCAGCCTGGGTGCCAGGGGTCTATGGCACTGGTTCAGACCCCTTTATTCCCAGCATCAGCTTGCCTGTCAGCAGTGCTCCAAATTAGGGGGTTAGCTGTGCAGAGCTGATGCTTGAAAAGGAAAGGGATGCTGGGTGTGGTGGTGCACACCTGTGATCCCAGCACTTGGGAGACTGAGGCAGGAGGGTCACTTTGGGTTGGAGGCCAGCCTGGGCTACATAGTGAATTCTAGATTAGCCTGGACTATATAGCAATACTTTATCTGCAAAACAAAAACAAAAAAATCAGAAAACATAATTAGAGTTAGTATTGTTTAGTGAAACATAGTTTCATATGCATATATATGTAGGTCTATGTTTATGTATTTCTGATGTAAAATGTATTTTTTTGTTAAAAGTGAAAGCTACCGCCTTAGAATGTTCCTGACTGCCTTATGTGTGCCTATCTTTCACCTCTCCAGAGGAGATTCAGCAGCTGTTAAGTGAATACTTTTATTTCTACTCATGTTTTGGGGAAATGTTCTGAAGTATTCAGCACTTTTGATATTTCTGAAATTGTCTCTTCTCAGAATTTATGGTAAGTGTCTTATCAGGAAGGGGAGCTGCTAAGTCAGTGGCTAATATGTGTGACATCAATCAACTTCATTGCTCACTGTCAAAAGTACTACTGAAAGATTTGTAAATAGCTTATGCACTGAATTAAAAGAAATGCTATCTTTTCATAATTATATATCAGAAATAAAGTGATGGTTATTTTCCTTGAAGAATAATTTTTCCTAAGTAATTTTCTTCTCTGTAATTAAAATCTGAGTGTTCTGTGTTTACTAATAGGTTGTCGGTGTTTATAATAAGTGGGCATTCTCTGTGTTCTAGTTGATATGATCAGGGAATTGCTAAGTACCGTATGAAATGGAAAGTCCAGCTAAGCGAGACTGAATTGTGTATTTATTTTGGCGGTACCGGTGATTGAACCCAAGGCATCAAGTGTGCAAGAAGCTTTCTGCCTCTAAACTGCATCCCTGGCTGAGTGAGATATTTAAATCATCTCGAGGGGCTTGAACTCCTTCCCTTTTCTGAACCAATTAATTTCGCAGGTTTTAGAGAGGTTAGTTCTGTGGGAATTACTATTCTTATGTGCAATACCGAGGATTAAACCCAAGACCTTAACACTGAGCTACTTCTCCAGCCCTTTTAAAATTTTTACTATTTCATTTAAGCATTTTTATAATTAGTACTTCTTTGCAGTACATAATGATCATCTTTATCATGGGGAGTTGGTACATGGAAATAATGCATCTTAATTCTTCTTTTTCATCTGTTTTTCCCCTTTCTCCCTGCTTCTTCTAACTCTTGGTCCCCTTTCCATTTGCAAAAGCTCCATTTTCACAAATTTTCCCCTTCAGTTCTTTTTTTCTTTTCCCTCTCCCTCCATCTCATTATCCCACCCATTTGAAAAGATACCCCTACTCCTTATTTACCTATTTTTCCCTCCTGCCCCGCTCTATCTCTATCTATAGATATAGATTGAGTTTCTTACATGAGAAACCGTGTGATAGTTAAGCTCATGTGTCTTCACTTGATACTATGGCCTCAAGTTGCACCTGTTTACCTACGAGCGCATCAGGTTATCTATCTTTATGGCAGCACCTCCTTTTATTTTGAGATGGTCTTGCTAAGTTGCTGAGATCCAGGCTGGGTGGAGTACCCGGATCACAGGAGCGTGCTCCCATGCGTAGCTGGGGATTGTTGAAGATGCTGAAAACGACTCTCCATTTAGTACCATGCTTGGCAGTAAGTGCTTGGCCTCTGCAATAAATGTTAGTGAGCTCTTGGTGTTTCTCACTTTGGTAGTTTCTTTTGCCATTGCAGCTTCATAAACTGCAATTTATAGCCAATGTCACTTAGTAGAGTAATATCTTCTTGAATGCCGGAGGAAAGAGAATGAGTAGGGACTTGCTTCTTGGTGATACGTTTTATGATGGTGTGATTATGTAAATCTAGAAAGCACATAAAGGGAAACTGTCTCCCTTAGGATGTCCTTACGTGTCATCCTTATGAGAGGTACTTCTGCAATGCTTACAGTTGCCTGGACTCTGATTCTGTGTGGATTCTGACTGCTCCCACCTTGTGGGTTAAGCCTTCTACAGCGTGGCCTCTGTGCAAGTTCGTGCTCTGCTGGAGTTGTGTGAGGGCCACTTTATGACGCTGACTTCAGGGAGAGAGCAGACAGTTCTTATTTTGTGTGGGTGGGTGGACCCTTGGCCAGGTGAAGGTCTGAGCTGTTCTGTCCTGTTGCAGTATTCTGGTCACTGAGAGCTCTCCAGGAAAGCGGGGATTTCGGAACTTTGGATACAGAAATGTAAACCCTTCAGCAGCAAACACTTGTGAATAGGGCTGGGGATTTAGCTCAGTGGCACCGTGCCTGCCTCACAAGTGTAAGGTCGTGAGTTTGATCCCTGGTACCAAAAAAACCCAACGAAACACACACACACACACACACACACACACACGCGATCTTGGGAAAATCACAACCTTTCTGGTTTTCCTTCTCAGAAAAATGAGGTCCAGTTCATCTTTAAGATCATTCCCCATTTGTAGCTTCTCTGTAACAGCATCTATGGGTGTGGCAAGGATAGATAGAGGCGAAATTTGATATGGCCTCAGTTGTGAACAGCAGTTGGCTAAGTGAATCCCACTGGTACCCTTCATCTGTGTGCTAGTAAATTTTTTTTCGGTACCAGGGATCAAAGTGATGACCTCGCACTTGTGAGGCAGGTGCTGTGCTGCTGAACTAGCTAGTAATTTTTACTAAAAGTGAGACAAGCTGTAGGTTAAAGAAAGAGCCCACTCTCCATGGTATTTAAATATTTATTTAAATTTAAAAATAATCTTCATGGCACCAATGATTTTATGCTAACTACATACTGCATATGTAGAAAAAAGTACATTGTTTTGAAGGAAAATAACTTAAGAGTTTTTGGCACACGAAAAGTTAATAACTATATATTTGTAAATGAAACTAAGAAATTCACATTTGCAGGTAGTTTACCCTCTACTGCTTAAAGATGTGGTACACTATTCTTCAGTAAGGTTATCTTTGACAGAGGACAGGATGGAAACCGTTTTTTTCTACAGTGAGATAAAACTAATTTGAGAGAAAAAGGAGACAATAGAATATAGTGAAACCAGATTAAAAACTGGAACTACTTTTAATAGGAAATACCAAAAAAGACTAGTTGTCAACAAAGGTTTGTTATTCAAGCACTATTTGTAAAACAAACTGAAGGAAATTTCTCTATTCATATTTTCTGGAATAAGCCCTAGAAAAAACGTTTCTGCTGGGCTGCTGGAACGGCACGGACCACTGTACCGTACGGTCAGAGCTCAACACAAGAAGTGCGCCAGGCAGAGCTGTGCATCTCTCCCGTGGGGACAGGCAAGGGCGGAGGTGAGACCGCTCACTGTGGAGACTCTGCCCTACAGACTGAGGTAGGAGTGCTCCACGAGGTCATCTGCCATGCTGCACAAGACGGCGGAGATCCACGTTGCCACCAGCCTGCCTCTGGACAGCCTTTTCATCTCTGGGTTATTTTCACTTTAGTCCTGTGCTACATAAAGCCTTTGCTATGCAGATGACAAGTGGCAGTGGCTAGTTGGTTTTAAGTGATCCCTAATCTTCACAAGGGTCTCCCTTGATTTTTCCTTGTTACTTGGTAAGTAGATGTTTGTGATTCTGCCCGAATTGTTGCTGTGTGGGGATGATCAGAGAGGCCCACCTACATTCTTAGATTTGCCACATTTGAGTATTCTCGTACTTGATCTGGCTCATCTTGGCTTCTGGAATCTTTGCTGGTTGGTTGTTTGAGCACCCTGTAAACAAGCAGCCCCAGCACCTCCTCTGGGAACCCGCATGAGTCTTTAACATATGCCAGAAATCGAGCAGAGGTGGCCTTCTGCTAATGTGGTCAGTTTTATTGTCTCCATCAGGGTTGGCTTATTACAGCCTGTAGGCCAAATTGAGCCTACATCTATTTTCATCAGACTTTATTGGAACATAGCCATGTTCTTTCACGTATGCTTATCTGTGGCTGTTTTTGTGTTATGATGGCAGAACTGAGTAGTTGTAACAGTATGGCCCACAAAACCAAAATACTTATTATCTGGCGCTTTTCAGGAGAAGTTTGCGGACCTCTAGATGAAAAGGGTAACTTTGCTGTCTTTAAAATGACTTTCCCCCCAATTTGGCCATGGCTGTCATATTCTAGACATGGACGTGGTTCTGCCATCTTGGGGGACAAATTAGAGGAGATAAGTTCTACAGCTGATGCATTCTGCTCTGCTGCTCTGTGCACCTCAAGTGTCCACTGACTACCCTTAAGTAAGTCCTCAGGCCTGGATGACACAGAAATCTCTCCCTGAGATGAAAACAACACCTTGTGTGTGATTAGTTTTAAGTGCTGCAGAGCTCAGGCCAAGGGAGCTCACCTCATACCTACCCCTAGGGTCCCTGTGCTTCTGCGAGCTCCTCTGGAGGCCTCCTTCCTTCAGCTAGGACGCAGGTATTGTCCTAGAACTTACTTCCTAGTGCAGAGGGTGACCCCAAGGGGGGCAGCACTTCTACGTCTAAGTGTTGGTCTCTGCCACAGTCACCTTCTGTATTTTGTAGCATCTCTTAGAAATCCCATTTAGAGATTCTTTTCTTGGTCCCTTCCAAGGCTCTGTGTTTATTTTAGAATCCTATTTTCTGATGCTTTCTAGTGTCAGGATCAATTTCTTGCATTGCTTACTTTATCAGGCTGTATTAATCCATAAAGTAAAAACAAAATATGAATAGATAAGAAAATAACATTTTGCTGTTAAAATATAAATTGAGATAGTCTTTTGTTAGGGGGCACACTGTGTATAAAATAAGCACTGCTCTGTGCATCCCAGCCTTTTCAGATCACTTAGCTCTGGTGTCTGGTACCAACTTTGTCCAGCATATCTGATGGTGCCCTCTGGCATCATTGAATTCATTCCCTGCCCTGGAACTCTCGGTCTTGAGGTCCTTCAGGAACATCACAGAAGTCTTGCTCACAACAGGGTGAGGCCCACTAGGCGCTAGTCTGAGGGGACAGACTTACCCTACCCCTTCTGCTGCTGGCTTGGTGGTGGTCCCTTCAGTTGCCCACTTCGCTCAGATTTGAAAAAACAAAAGGAAAAGAAAATCCAACTCAGACCATCATAAGAAGCGACTTTCCATTTAATCATTCCACATGGAATTTTTTTAAGAAGCTCTCTCTGACTCTAAGCAGTCTCCACTGTGCAGACCCCTGGCCTGCCCCACTCCAATTCCAGGCCGGCGCCTCTCACAACCTGAGCACCAGTGGGAAAGCTGCTGTAGAACACAGAGGACAACGGCTCTCTGGTCTTCAGTTAGCATCCCATCTGCTAGTGGACATTACTGGGATAATGAGCAATAGTAAAATAAATAGTTTTTATTTGATACTTTCAAAATAACATCTATGAAAAATCAAAATTCAAAACCAAAAATTATCCTGCAAATTGAAAGATGAGAAATGAGTTGCTGCGCCTTTCTTGAGAGAACCTCGGGAGGAAATGAGTTTTCCCAGTTTGTGTGGATGGGGCCTGCGCCTGTCCCTTCCTTCTCCTGGGAACACCCCTCCTAGGCTGCAGTGGGCTCTGACGCATGGGAGGACTTGGTGTGTGTGCCGATGGTTCCGCGATGGTCCCATTGCTGGGAGGGGTAGCCGGGCTCCTGCATCCACCTGGCTAGTTATTGGGAGGAGTCATGCCTTCTCAGGTGTCAATGAGCAGGCTCACCACTGAGCGGATTTTGCAGGCAAACCATCGCCTGAGGGGACAAAAGTATTGATAGTGGAATTGTTCAAACTCGGGGGTCTGGCGGATATCTCGGAAAAAGGCAATGTCAAGGTCAGACTCGGTAAGGATGATCAGGAGGAGGAGCAAAACAAAGAGGAGTCCCATGGTCACAAGGAGCAAACGGAGGACACTTAAAACAAACTTATTCACCTGTTCCTCTGGCCTGCCATGCCCCTGACACAGGGCCCTCAGCTCTCTGCCCAGCGTCTCCGCCTCTGTTGCAGTTGGGGTGCTGGCCTCAGACTCCTTCTCCTCCTCGATGCTACAGGTGGCTCCATTGATCTGCCGGGAGAGCAGCATCAGCTCCAGGCTGTGCTCGGCCACGGGGGTGGGCAGCACGCTGTCTGCGGGGCTGTAGGCCTCATCCGAAATGATAGCTACTCGCTCGTTGCTGTCTGCTCGGCTGCTCCTCACGTGAGGCAGGAAGGTGTCCCCATGGGAAGAGGATCGCACTGGGGTGGAATGGGCACTGTCCCGTAGGGACTCAAGACCTGGAAAGGCAAAAGGCGTGTGACTAGGCTTTCAAGCCCCCACCCATGCTTTGCTGTCCAGTCACACCTGTTCTCACTTCTATCCACCCGCACACCCTGCTTGACCAGTACAAGTGCTTGCCACACTCTGTTTTGACATCAAAAACGGGATGAGGGAAGCCACAGAAATCAGACTGATCACTTTGGAAGTGTTCTTGTTTTTTTTTCTTTTTGCTTATGGCTTTGGCTTAATTTATTAACAGTTCAGTTTTTCCTGCCTTTAGTGTCTTGGCCTTGGTTTTAGCCTCCATTTGAAAGGGAGTCTGAATTGTAGACCATCCCCAGTGCAGAGCTGGACTCTGGGGAATGAAAGACAGTCCGCAGCCTCACCTGCCTCTCCCATCTAGGTCTCAGCTTTCCCAAGAAAGTTGTGAAGTAACTTGAAATAAGAGCCCTGTCCCTTGTTTCAGAGCTTTTGATGCTGCCTTGACCTCTTGTCTTCTTCCTTGATGCACCGCTGGCACATGCGGCAGGAGAAAGATGTACCTTGGGGTGAGTCATGGGTCACTGATACATGAAGGTTAAGGCCTTGGTCATAGTGTGTGCTGATGGCTCACTTCCCAAGCACTTTTCTACCCCCTTTTCTCTGGAACCTTAGCCTGGGCCACCTGACCCTCTCAAAGTCCTGTCTCCTTACAAAGACACCTCTGACTGCCGGATTAGCCAGAGTATGGAAGAACAGCTGCCAGCAACAACTGCAGTGCAAATTCGGTTTGGCCCGCAAGTAAGCTCTGAGCTGGCTGGGGAAGGAGAGGTGTGTTGGGACGTCAGAGGGGAATCGGGTCATGGAGACTGTCGCTAGAAGTCAGTCATCGCATTGCTGGGGTTCTCAGGGAACAAGATAACGGATAGTGTGTGCACTGTCAGTAGAAGGCCTGCCTGCCACTATCCCTCAGTAGAGGTTAGTCTTCTACTCCCTCAGCAGCAGACCTTACCTGTGTGGCTCTCAGACCATCCACCTCAGGCTTGTCCTGAGCCAGACGTGGAGTCTACCCACCCACGGAAACCACCGCCAGCCCTGCTGACCCTCATCTGTTAGTCGGGGGTGGATGAGGTGAGGGGCGCAGCAGAGCAGGGAGGTGTCCCCTTTACCTGGGAGGCGCTCCAGCTGACTCCCCTGCCCAGAGGTGGCTCGTGCTGGGTCAGGGGGCACAGTCGTCAGGACCCTGCTCTGGAGCCGGGGCCCCATCCTCAGGACACGCACGTTCAGGGGCCGAAGGCAGTGGTTAGTCAGTCGGAGCTGAACGGGGACTCGGGTGTGAATCTTAATCAGACTCTTCCCCATGGTGGCCCAGGAGGGCAGAAACTTCTTCAGTCTAAACCAGACGGTCTCTTCAGGGAAACCAGCCAAGCAGGAGTATAGAGAGAACGACAGAAGCTAGCCAGAGACAAAGGACTGTCACAGATCCCAGGACTTAGCACAGTCCTGTGTTGGCTGGAGATTGGCTTCCCGAATGTCCCATCAGGCTGTGCTGGGAGGAAGGAGCAGCACTGAGAGGCTGGAGGCTGCCTTATCAGAGGACTACATTCAGCCACAAGTGCTTAGAGCCATAAAAAGCAATGCTTCTTGGCCTGCAGCTCCTTCCCTGAGGCCCGTATATGGGCCCAACTTCTCAGGTACAGAGAGGGCAGGGACAAGTCCCAGAAGATAGGGGGATCAAGATTCGCCCAGAAAACCCAGGATGTAATGTCATGAAGATGTTCGCCTTTATCTAGGGCATACAAGGAAGTCACGCACTAGCAAAGTGTGGGAGGCAGCTCTGAGGCTGTGTGGAAAGCATACCATCCGCCGCTGAGGGTCAGGCCTCTGAGTGAAGCCATCTCGGCAGCCCCGGGGGCACAGTCAGGCTAATGAGTTCATAGACTTCTTTTTTTGAGTCTCACTGGGATGGCATGGTTTTATGCACCATAATGCGGTATTAATGTTTCTGTAAGTTTTACTATTGTTTCTTGAGTTAGCAAATAAAGTTCCTCTGAAGGCTTCCTGACACTGCTGTGTGGGCTCCGGGAAGGAAGTCGGATGGAGCCTGGGCTGTCCAAAAGAATGTTTCCTGGGCCCTGCTGGCCTGTGTCCTGAGATGCCAGCTCGTCCTTCATGGTCCTCCCCTGCCAGTCAGTCAACTGCATTTAAAAAAGAACTTACTTTTTGTTTGTACTGGGGATTGAACCCAGGGGCTCTACCACTAAGCTCTACCCTCAGACCTATTTTATTTTAGTGTTTTATTTTTTGAGACAGGGTCTTACTAAATTGTCCATGTAGAACTTGAACTTGGGATCTGCCTGCCTCAGTCTCTCAGTGCTGAGATGATAGGTGTGAGCAGCACATGGCTGAAGCCCCTCAAGAGATGGGACATCTGAACTCTTGACTCATGGAAAATAGTTCTTTATTTCCATAGGGCTCTGTGGCTCTGAACTGATGAAGCCATTTAACTACTGAAATCTTAGTTTTTTCCCCATCTAAACAAGATGTCCTCTTCTTGCCCTGACCCTGCAAGGGTCCATGCTTGCCTGGCCCCTGAGCCTTCACCCGAACTTGAGGAGTGTGTGGGAGGCTGCTGCTCCAGAGCCGCCAGGAGGGAAATGGGCTGAGGTCCTGCCCTGGCACCTTGGCTACAGGGAGAAGTCGTGGTGGGAAAGAGGCAGGCTCACCGCTTTTCTTGGGGAACCTGGGCTTTCCTCCCACCTTGGAGCTGTTCTGCTAACACTGTTTGGCAGCTGTGCCAGAGCAGGGCCCACTGGGACAGCTGAAGCCTTTCCTCTGGGGTCCTTGCCTACTTTCAGACCTGCGTGTGTGCTGCCTTCCCCAGGGCGAACCTTCCGAGACAGCCGTCCAGCTTTCCGGAGAAGCCTCCAGAGTGACCTACTGGCTTCTGCTTCGGGATGGATGAGAAGAGGGCCACAAAGAGAGGAGAAGTTTCCTCAAAAGAGAAGTACACCCCAGGGAGAGGGCTGATGAGAGGGAGGAGGCACAGGAGCTGTGTCAGATCCCTCGGTCAGGGCATCCCAGCGGGCGGCAGGGTGCCTCAGCACGGGTGCAGCAGAGCTCCCATCCCAGCTCCATCAAGGACTTCGGCCCAGGGCAGTCAGCACCCACTTTCCGCCTGCCCGAGGAGTGCAATAAAGTGCTTCACAGAGCCAGGGTGGCAGCCCATTGCCTGTAGTCCCTGCTGCTCAGGAGGCTGAGGCAGGATTACCTGGGCTCATGAGTTTGAGGTCAGCCTGGACAACAGACTCGTCTCAAAACAAAGAAAAGTAATTTGTGAATGTAACTGTACTGTATACCTAAAATGTACCAGTAAACTCAATGAGAAAAAAAAAGTAATTTGCGTGTATTAGTTTTCTTGCCACACCTGAGTTAGGCAAGGAAGATAGCCCTGTTTTATAAACGGAACAACTAAAATGCTCAAGAAATGATTAAAACTCAGTGGTGGTTGTCTAGCCAGGCCCCTCATGTTGTAGACATTTGGAGGTTTGTGCTGTTGGCAAGACATGAGTACTCACGTGACGTGCACAGCAACACAAAGTCAAACCCTAAAGCTCACCAGAGATCCTTGCAGAGGACAGCAGAACAATATCTTTCCTGGTCTGAACAGTTTTAATTTTCTTTTTTTGTGAAGTGAAGGGTTAAGATAGGGTCTCCTGGGGCCGGGGATTTAGCTCAGTGGTGCCGCTGCGTGCCTCGCAAGTGCAAGGTACTGAGTTCGAGCCCCAGTATAAAAAAAACAAAACAAAAGAAAACAAAAAAACTAGAGTCTCCCTATGTTACCCAGGCTGGCCTTGAACTCCTGGCTCAGCCTCACAAGTGCTGGAGTCACAGGTGTGCACCACGCACAGCAGTTCCCATTTTCAGTGACAAGATTCACACAGGAAAGGCAGAGGGCCTCCCTTCCCAGTCCCCACCCCCCAATCCCAGCGGAGGAGTCTGAAGCAGTCCTGCTCCTTTCTGCAGTGTGATAGCTTCCAAGAAGTCTTATAAAAAACACCATCTTTGAAAAGGAAAGCAGTGAACTCTACACCTGACCGGACGAGGGCCACATTCTGAGCATGTCTGCTACAGGCCCAAGGGTGAAGTGATCTGCCGGCACAGGGCATGCAGGTCAGCAATGGTGCATGCAATCCCTGCCTTCCTGGAGCCCCTTCTGCCTGCGAGCGAGCAGGGTGGGAAGAGATGAGACCAATTTCTCCAGCCAAAGGACAAGGTGGTAGCAGCTACGGGAGCCCGAGGTTCTCGTTCGTGGCCCTAGCCCCCATGCAGAGCCTCCTTTTTGGAAGCCACTTAAGACTGTGTAGAACTCTGCAGATCCCCACGTGCAGGACTAACGCAGTCTCCTCAGCTCGCCCAGTCCTGGGCCCAGAGGGGCAACGCTTACACTTCACACTGGGCTCTTTCCGCCATAGACTTGTTCTTGTCCCTAATGTACATTAACATCTGGCTCCTGAGGAGGACCCAGCTCCGTCCCCAGGTGCTTGGGCTCACCTTCCATGATGGAGATGTGGACAGCTCTTCTGCGGGTCCTGGGGACACTGCTTAGCCGAGGGCCATGGGTGATGGAGGGGCAGCTCCGGCTGGGCACCATCCCTGCTCTGAGGTGAGAGGAAAACAGCCCAGGTCACTCAGGGCACCAGGAACAGTTGGCTGTATTGTCTGTGTCCTTTTTTTCTTTTTCTTTTTAAATCTTTAGTACTTTCTTTGCTTTTGGTTCCTGCATCCCAGTAAGAGATTCAAACCTTCACCTCCTCATATCCCAGACATAACATTTTTTTTTGTGGTACTGGGGATGGAACCCCATAGGCTTTGTACTGAGACATATCTCTAGCCCTTTCTAAAATTGTTTTTAAATTTTTGGACAAGTTGCCCAGGCTGGGCTTGAATTTGTGATCCTTCTCCTTCAGCCTCCCAGAGCACCGGGATGACAGGTGCATGCCTGGCTTCTGTCTGGACCTCTAAGTGTGGCAACAGTGTCACTGGTCTGGGGCAGGACCGTCAGGGAGTAGAGCTCCAGAATGAGCAGAACTCCTGAACCTGTCTACAGCTGGATCCCGGCCACCTGCCCTGACTTCCAGCGGAGGCTGCGGAGTGGGGCAGTGTGAACAGAGGGTGGTCAGTAAAGCTCTCATTCCAAGGCAGAGGCCGCTCAGCAGACCTGAGCCTTCTTGGCCAGTCTCGTTCTTTCTCAGCCTTACCAGGTTCCAGCAGGCAGGCTTCTGGGAGTGCGTGACTTACATGTATACGCATGAGGCATGGGGATGTTACAGTGAATACTGCTACTTTGTCACATCCTCCGTGGGATTTGGTCAGTGTGGAGATGTGGGAGGCAGAAAGGAATCACTGACCGGAGGAAGGCCACATTCTGAGCATGTCTGCTACAGGCCCAAGTACCTGGGGCTGGTGCACTGTCTGCTGAGGGCTTGCCTGCCTTCTGTTACTGTTACACATCAAAGACCTCTCCTCACACTGCCAGCAGAGACAGGTTTCTTTACCTACCCTACTCCTGGATCTTCTGGTAGTTACAGAACTGAAATTGCTAGATCTTTTGCAATTCTGGGGTCAGAGCTGGAGCTGGAGCTGACTTTTCGTGAAGCCTCTCGTGGCCTACCTGTGTATTTCTGGGGGCTCCCGTTTGATCTTGGCACTTGATTCCATTACTTCCTTTGCAACTCGGCCACTGTACGTAGTATAATAAAAACAAGCAGTAAAAATGAGTCAGTGTTCCAGGACTGGGCTCCTCTCCAAGATCTCGGAGGCTGTGGCCAAGTCAGGAAATAGCCTCTTTGGTTCACCCCTTCCCCAGTGCTGAGGTCACTCAGAAAGGCTTGCTTGCTTGGGTAAAGAATTCTAAAGGGGCATGAGTTATCTTAGGGCAGTCTCTGGGACCCTCCATTCTCATTTAGGTATGACGCTTCCCTGCCCAACATGTTTCAAATAACAGCCCCCAAACCAAAACCCTTTACACAGTCGGACATGAAAAGAATTGTTAGGATTTTGGTACTTTTGTAAGGGAAAGAGGAAAAGAGGTACATACAAAACCCTACCAACAGACAGCTGTAGGGAAGGAAAGAAATAGCAAGATGGAAGAATTGGGTGGGAAGCTCCAGCTTTTCTGAGAGTTCCCATTTCTTTGCCCTCCAGGATGAGGCCCACTTAGTGACTGTTCTTCAGAGAAGTCTGAAAATAGGTCCATGATGGTTACTTACTGTCACTATTTACCTGTATCGGAACCGGCTCCCTTTAAAGAATAAATTGCTGCTGGACACTGTGCGGACTTGGCTTGACTTCTCCAGCCTGCAGCAAGACAAGGTCAGTATGACCAATGGTCTGCACCCAACCCTGCATCTGCCGTCAAGGCAGAATATCTGCTCCTTTCAAAGACTGCTTAGGAAACGTCAAGAAGGCTCTTTGTAGCCCATGGTCGTCTCTGACTCACTTAGGGTGAGACTGCACGTGGCCAGCTGCCCTCCTGTTTTAGTGCTTGGGACAGTCACCTGGAAGCCCACTGTAATGTCAGGACAGTGAAGGGTCCCCAAGAAGACCCTTGCTTGGGGACTGACCAGGGGGACTGAGAGAATGGACGCTAAGGCCTATGGTCAGGGGAGTAACAGAACACCATCCATGTGTTCTCAGCCAGGCCATTTATTAGCATGTGGCGTCTCTTGGTTTCAGTCTTCTCTATAAATGATGAGGCTGGGACTACTTGACTTTAGGGGTCCTTTCCAGTCCTAGTATTTGATGCCAGTGTCCTATCTGGGAAGCTTGAGCAGAGAGATCTCCCAAGTCGGGGCTCACCTGCAACCACGGACTGATCCAGTCATGGACTGAGTGGGGTCTGAATTTTTTTCCCTGAGTGGGAAGTGAGTATTTAGGAAGCTGTCCCTGGAAATCCCAGAACAGCTCCTAGGAGACACCGGCCCCTGCTGTCTGGACCCAGTCTACTGGCCCTTTGCCTGAGCATATTCTAAAGTCAGATTGAGGACCCTTCAAGGCACGAAGACAAAGGAAGGACTGGAGACAAGGTCAGAATAGCTGCTACCAAAGGATCAGTGTCACTAGGGTTCTGACCCAGGCGAGAAGCTTTTGACCTTTAGATATGAAGGAGGCCATTGGAAGCAATGGAACATGGGAAGCCTCAGTTTCCTGTATGGGTACCAGCAGGGCTGGGTGCTCTCGCAAAGACTCGGAAACTGAGTCTGGTGACAGATTTGGAAGCAAACTTCTGTTCCCATGATGCAGATGGAAAAATAAAGGCCATAAATAAAAGGTGCTGGAGGCACGAAAAGGCAGAGACAGAGAGATTGTTTCCCGGTGTGTTAGTCCATTTTAGCAGAGGCAAATGTACTGTCTCCAGGACAGGGGAGCTCAGTATGGAGCCAGCTCCTGTCTGCTGTGGAGACCACAGGGCCCCCACCTCCAGGGTGTTGCCTCACAGCAGGGGTTTGTATCTCAAGCTACTTTCTACAGCTGCATGTAACTGACCAAACCCAGGCTTTGTCCTCAAAGGCAAAAGGGAGGTGGCAGTAAGAGAAAATATTTCATTGGCTTTCTCTGGACAGCAGAGACTGAGCAGGAGGGAGATGTGACCATGCTACAGTCTCTCTGGAAGAAAGCCACTCAGGTCAGAATGAATGTAGGCTGTCATTTACCCTTGAAGCTGGTGTCAAGTGCACCTGCCCAAAAAACAACCCGGGTCCATGGCTGGGAGTCTGGAGCAGCCAGCTGGTAGTAGAGTCTGTTCCAGAGAGGAGCATGGTGCCAGTCGGGGAAAATCTGATCTCTCCACAATCCAACTCATGGAAGGTGGACCTGTCTGTCTTGCTTGTCTTAAGAAATGAACTGTTTCCTCTTCCACTATGGGGATTGCATCCAGGGTCTCATGAATACTAGACAAGCACTTTACTGCTGAGCTACATCCACAGCCCTTTAATTTTTTTTTATTTTTGAGATAGTGTCTTGGTAAGCTGTCCAGGATGGTCCTCCTTCCTCAGCCTCCCACCACACCCAGCAAGAAAAATCTTACTAACACATAAACCATTATTTTATGTTTCAAACAAGACCAAGAGGTTTAGTGAAGAATTTTACTTGACCTCATCCCAGTTTCGCTATGGACCATTTTGTTCCCTAGTGATTTTTTTTGGTACCAGATCAAACTCATGACATTGTGCTTGAGAGGCAGGCATGGTGTCTCTGAGCTAAATCCTGGCCTCCCTAAATGCTTTTATAACCCCTTTCTTAAACAAAGAAAACCGAACATGGAAGCCTCTTGTACTTCATGAATCTGTCGTATGCAAATTTTGCCTCTGCCCCAAACCTGACTTCTCAGTATCAGTCAAGCCTCTGCCCACCTCCAGCCACACTACCCAAGCTCCTGGCACTTGGCTTGCTACTGGCAACACCTTTGGTGGTAACACACCGGGAGGGGCTGGCACTGACGGCAGACCCAAGTCTGTCCAAGCCTAGGGCTTGGCTTTGGACCAGGGTGCTGCTGTGGGTTGTACCTGGTCTGTTGAGGAACTGCTGTATTTTATACCTTCTAAGGTTCTGAATGCTTTCCAGGACACCTTGATTCAAATCAGACACTACTGGCATTTTCTGGCCCAAGACTTACCCCCCAAAAGACCAGAATTTCTCTGCCACCAGGGACTGTTTGAAGGATGTATCAAGGCTGGCCCCTGGGCAGCTTAGCAGAAATGCACCCCCAGAGCTTGGTTTTGGGGGTCCAAAGAGCCAGAAAGTGGACTGGGGTTTACTAGGAAGCCAGCTCCATCATCCCCTGTCTTTTTCTCCTTTCCAAGATTTTCTCAAGGTTTGCATGTCCTCTAAAAGCAGCTTCTGTGACTTTGCCCTGGACAGCTGCTGCCCATCCCCTGTGGCCACTTACTTGTAGAAGGCTTGGTTCTCGATTCCGCATTTCCAGAGGTGTTTGCAGGCTTCTGGAGTTGGAGCAAAATATGTGAGAATAATTTTCTTTTCCTGTAAAAATTCCACATAGAAATGGCTGAGTGTGGTTGAAGAAGTGAAGGAGAAGCAGCCTAGGACCAGAGCCCTGGCGCTGCTGGAGGCCCCGTGTAGCAGTGGATCAGCTGGAGGGAAGGGAAGGAGCTGCTGGGGCCTCACCTTTCTCTTGACCAGTCCAGCCAGACTAAGACTTGGGTGGCACTGGCTAGACCAGGAGAACCCTTGGTGAGAAGTGGCACTTGCATCTAGAATTTCCATATGGAAGAAAAAGTATCTGACTTTTGAGTTTTTTGTTGTTTTGTTTTTGTTTTTTCAGACAGGGTCTCGTATGTAGTTCAGGCTGGTCTTGAACATGTGGTGATCTTTCTGCCTCAGCCTTCTGAGTGCTGGAATCACAGGTGTGCTCTACCATGCCCAACAAAGAATCTGACTTTGGACTACAGTTCTAGAGGTAGGGCCAGTCTCTAGGTGAACCTCTGGGTGTCATCAACATGGGACCTTCCACCACTTCCTCTCTCACCTCTTGATCTTGAACTGGTTGTGGCTGAGCTCTACCTGGACCCCTCAGTCTTGGTTCTGGCCACCAGGAGCTGCTGCAGTGCCCTAGTCCTCCCTGAAGAGAAGGAAGCCAGCACTCACCTCTTTCTGACTTACATATAAATAGAAAGTCTTTCCTTCAAATTTCAGCTTGGTCACCTCGTTCCTAGAAGCACAAAGAGAGCACCTATTACCTCACTGTAGGCTTCTTGCTCACAGGGTAAGTCTTACAGATGCACAGCCCACCCCAACTGGAAGGGGCTCCAGGCACAGACACAATTGTAGCCAAAATTAGAACCGAAACAAGACAGCGCAGTAGCCTTAGAGAACAGTTGTTGGAACAGTTCAATCCACAGTGCTCTGGTTAATCATACTATAGTTATAGGGTGATAGGAGGGTTTCAGGCTCGCTGTAGAAGGGAGACATTTGCATGGGAAGTGAGTCTAGGTAGTGTTTGGGGTCATTTCAGGGTTTGGTTCATAACACAGGTGCATTATCTGGATGGGACTGTCAGATGTAAGATGCCACAGGTAGCTGATGAGGCCAAAGTTCAAGATACACCAAATAATGAAGTACAATGCAACCAGGCTCTGAGGGAGCGGAGTCTTTGAGGTGACTGCCACTGGATGGAAAATGCAGTTTAATGCAGACAGATGTCAAACAATCTCAGGGAGGGGCAACATACCAAAGAGAGAACAGATTACATGAACAGTCATGCAGCGTACTGACCAGGAAAGGGGCTTAGGGGTTATTGTAGAAAAATCCTTGAAGCCACCAGCCCAGTGAATGGCTGCAGTAAAAGAGGCAAACAGGATCCTGGGGTACGTCACCCGAGGGACAGACACAAATCAGAAGTGACAGGGTTACTGTACATGGCCCAACCCAGACCTCACCTCCATGCACTGTTTTCAGCCTAGGTGACATTTACAACGTGGGAGGAAGTGATTGCAGCCCACAGTGGACGCCCCTAGGAGCCAGAGAAGCAGGCCGCAGAGTCTGCCACCCCTCAGCTCCCCTATCTGCCCAGCATGGCTGCCCTCAACAGCAGCACAACCCTCTTGTGGGAATTCTTAGTTTTCTGGCCAGCTGAGATCTGCAGGGAGGTCTGATCGCTCCTCTCTGCCTCCCTTGATGATTCTTTATAGTTTCTGGGGAGGATCCTCGATACCCTGCTAAGTAATAGAAAGGCAGTAACCATGTACCAAATTTACTGCTGGGCAAAATGCATGGGACAAGAAAACCACTTTTCTTTGTGGTTTTGGAAATCACAGTTAGGTCGGGATGACAGTTCACAGCTTCTGACTACTTAGCTTCTGAGATAAGTCAAGCCATATATGGTCTTCCCTTCCTGTTCGACTCCTCGACCAATCATCAAACTCATATTCATGCAGAATACAATAAATGTCCAGTAGTTAATATGTAGGCAAGCACACAGATCACCGAGGCTCCAAAATCAGAGAGAAACATAAGTTTTCTTTTGGAAGTGAGGCTTGGCTTAGAGCTATTATAAGGTTGAGACTGGTGAAGAAGAGACTTCCTGAAGAAGAAATAGGCCTGGGGAGGTAGGGGAGTGGTGGGGTTTCTAGAGTAAGTTAACTTAGGGATTGCAAGGGTCTGCAGCAGGTGCACCCTACTTCTGTCTCGCTAAGCTAATCATGCCACCCAACGTGGGCCTGAGTACCCTCTAAGGACTGTCACATAGCCTTGATGTGTCCAGGCAGAAAATGACCCACTTGAAGAGAATGGTGGCCAGATCCTGCTTATCTTTTTCTGAAAAGGAGTTTGTTGGCCAGGAGAACACAAGCCTTCGTGTGTTCACCCAGGGAGCAGAGTGATGTGGCCTGGGAAGCCTCCAAAACAGGTTGCTAAGGCAGTGCCATGGCAGCAGCTGCCTTGTGAGGGGAACCCAGCTCTGGAAGTCTGAGGAGCAATTGTTATAGCACATGGTTGGTCATTTTATTGTCATTCTTCACAAGAATGGTCTGGGTTGTAAAGGCAGCTGGGTTCTGCTTGTCAGCTCAGTGGGAGCCAAAGAAGGCAGCGGAGGAGAGAGGTCTGCAGCATCCAGGGAGAGAGTTTACCAAGAAGCAGTGCTGTACTCAGCCTCCTCACAGAGCTGCTGGAGAAGTAAAGGCACTAAGCAGACTTCCCAAACGGAGGGAAGTCACCAGCTTTGACATGACAGGTGGAGGCCCCAGAAGGAAGAAATCAAGGGCTGAGAATACGAAAAGTGTTCTGGTGAGGCGGACGGATGTGCAGGTCAGCCAGCATTTCTAGGATATTTAAATGTCAGTCCGCAAACTGGAGCCTATGCCCAGCCATGCAGCAGAACAGAACTCAAGCAAAAACAGGGAGGAAAAAAAAGGCAAGCAAAAGAAGTTGTCACTGCAGTGAAGGCAGGCTCTTACCCACCAGAGTGGGAGTGGGGAGAGGGCGGGAGTGAGGCGGCAGTGTCTGAGCCACCATGGGTGTGAGTCTGAGGAGGGAGCTCTGCAGTGTGGCAGGTGCAGGGACCCCTGTGTGTGAGCCGCTCATGGTCAGAAGAGTAGGGAAGGGGCTGGGCCAACTTCGAAGATGCCTGGCCACGGCCCTTGGCAGGTGATGGCCCTGAGGACTCAGCTGTTCTGGGAACTTTGCTTCCCTAATATGGGTTCCAGTGGGGTGGGTGGGGGGATTCCCCGGAAACCAGACCTCGACACTCCCTCTGGGGCGGCTATTGGCTCTCGGGGACACCATTTTGGGATAATAAAATGGTTAGGAAGAGACTGCTACCTTCATCAGGCACCATTCTCAACCCAACCTCTGCCTAGTGCTTGCTCCAAACCATAATTCCTAATTACAAAGGACACAGGAACCGCAGCCCCACCCAGTTCTTTGGGATAAAGTGCCTGTTTTGGAAATGAAGATGCTCACCATTTAATGAAATGGACCCTCTTGTTTCCTTGAAGAACAACGAACCCAAAAGGAGTGAAGGCCAGAAATGCAGCATTTCCTGACACATCCTGCAACACAGAGAGACTTCTCATCGGGATGATGTGGGCACAGAGGGGACAGGGTGCGGCACCTGGCTGTGTACAAGGGAGGCAGGTCACACAGTGCAGGGCAGTCACGCCTTTTCACTCCCTAGCTGTGTGACAGCAGGCAGAACACTTCCTGCGCCCCAAGCCCTGATCCTCAGGTCACATGACAACAACACCAACCTCATGCGTTGCTGGTGGGACTCCAGCGTCAAGTCACTGCACAGCGGCCTGGAGGGTCTTCACGTTACCATACAGGGCTGACACTTGTAATCGTGACTCCGCTCCCTGTGTGTGCCCCGGAGGACTGAAAACGTGTGTCTGCTCACACTCGGGCACACCCACTTACAGCAGCCACGGAGGGAAGAAGGCCAGTCCACCTTGCCGTGGACAGTGTCCACCAAAAGATAAGTGCACAAGAAGGTGCGACACTGCGACAGGGTATCGGTCAGCAGTAAGGGGACGGACACTGCCAGGTGAAAACCGGTTACCAGACACGCCGAACAATGCTGTTGATAGGTAATGTCCAGAACAGGCGAATCCACAGAGACAGCACGGGGGAGAGAGGTGGGCAGTAGTGACTGCTACTGGGCATGGAGCTTTTCCGGGTCATGAAAATGTTTTAGAATTAGCAGTGATGGTTGCACGTACCTGTGAATATACTAAAACCCACCGACGCGCACTCTGAAAGGGTAAACTTTATGATAAGCTGTTATTAAAGAGTGTCCTCTGACCCTGGTGATGGTTATTATAGCAAGGGTCCTCTGACACCCGGCTTCCTTAAGGAGGTGAGGACATAAGCAGCAGGTGGCCGAGGGGACAGGCTCCACTGAGGTGCAGGGAGCGGCAGAGAGGGCGTCCTGGCCCCCAGGGCTCTGCTGAGCCAGGCAGGAGAGAAACCCAGAAAAGAGGCCACAGTTTTTACAAGTGGGGGGATGGGCCCCAGAATGTAGGGACAGATTACAGCACATGCCCGCTCAGGGGCTGCCTCTGGGGTGTTGGGGACAGAATTTCCACATCTGAGCAGTGATGGGGAAGGCCAAAGAGCTGCTGCGAAGTCGGTCAGCTGCACCAGGGAGGCTTCCAGGCTGTAGCTCATGGTGCTGTGAACACAGGTACCTCTGTCCTGGTCCCCACACCTTCCTTGCACATAGGCATGGGTTCTCAGCCTGACTGGCCCTATGCCCATGGGCCTCCCTCAGGGAACAATGCAGGTTTGCCTCAGAGCTGCCTCTTGGAGTCAGGTTTGTAAGACCCCCTGGGTTCAGGGAATGAAATGAAGTCTATTTTGTAAACATTCTGATTAATGTCTGGTTATCACTGTCCTTTCCTCAGGGTCTGTTAAGATCTGAGATCCAGATGCTTGGCTGCAACCTCAGTGTCATACAACCCACAGGCACAACAGAACACTTAAAAATAACTGGGATGGAGAAGCTATGAAGCCACAGGTCTGGGCCCCGGGCCCGTCATTATTGTCAGGTGGTAGCTATTAATATCTGAGTGCCAGGCACTGCACACAAACACTGTTCCTGCCAGGAGGTCCCAGGACTAGGCTGGCAGGCTTGGCAGAGGTGTGGGGCAGGGCAGGGTGGGCTTTGGGCGGAAAGGCCAGGAGAGGCAGGTGAGGGAGTCAGACCGCCTCAGACAGAGGTGGGCCTGGGAGGATTTCTGCACACTGTCAGGCCAGACCCAAGGAAGTCCTAAAACTGTAGGCTTAGAAAGACAAGAGACAGGTTCCAGGATGGAGACAACTGCACCCGTGACAGCCCAGAACAGGGCTGTGGGGCAGTGTTCATCAGACTGAGTGGACACGACAGCGGGCCAGGGCAGAAGGACATCTGTAAGCCACGGTGACGGGTGCACAGACAAGCGGGGTGGGGAGGCCACTTTGTAGTGCTCTCTCAGACAGGAGAACCCTGGAAAGAACGCTGGAAGGATGGAGGGGCTGGGCCTGTGGAAGTGCATCTGGCAGGGTGGGGAAAGGGAGGAGGCAGGGTACAGGAGACCCTCCCTCTGCTGTTCCCTGCTTGCTCATGCAGGCAGGGGCAGGGAGAAGGGCTTCCGCAGACGGCCTCAGTACCCTGGGCCCTGGAGGGTCCGGTCTGGCTGTGTCATATACTGTGTGACCAAGGACAAGTCCCTTAATTTCCCCAGGTTTCATAAAATCAGGATTTGTCTTACCTCTATCATAAGTTACGCCCGGTAGGGTCTCAGTAACATTGATGGGTGTGTTAATGTTATAGCTGCCAAGTTTGTTGAACTTACTACAAATCCTTTGTATAAAAAGACCTAACATTCTAGCATTTTTTCCCTGACGCTGACAGATTTGAATTGTGCTAGTTAGGAAATGAGGGTGAGATGGGAGAATAAGACAGGAGAAGTCAGCGTTACAGTGCCACGAAGGTTTGCTGATTAGGAAGCTGAAGTGAGTGCAGGAGGAGGGACCGGAAGCTGTGACCTCGGTGAGACCTTTGAGTCGTCCAGGTCTTGGCCTCCCTCTGGCCAAAGCAGAGGAAAGAGCAGGGCTGGGTGCATCATCCAAACACCTCAGGGTGGTGAAGGCAGGACTGCAGTTGAGGGGAGCAGCTGGAATGGGATGAACTGGGAATCAAGCCTAGTGAGACAGCACAGCACTCCGATAAGTAACAGTGGCACCTCCGTAATCGCAGCCCAGTCTCACATGAAGAGGTAGTTCTCCAAACCGCTGCACATACCTACAGATGCAGGTGGGGGCTAGAGCAAGACCCCAGAAAGACCCCAGAACTTGGAGGGGTCATGGATCCAACGGCAGCAGAATGCCGGCTGCTTGGCTGTGGCCTGTGGAGCTCAGCAGTGAGGACAGGCGGACCTGGAGTCATGGAGAAATCTCTCATCTGTACCCATATGGAAATGAGCAGGGTCCACTCTGACACTGCTGGATTTCCCAGTTTCTTCTAACACGCCATTCCTGTGGTGAGCCCGCTCTGGGGCCTGTGTACAAGGTGACAGGCTGTGTGACGGTGAGGATGGACAGTGGCAGGTGTAGGGGTCACATGTTCTTTAGGCCTTCCTTCCATCATACCAAGTGGGGATCTGTCTTTGCCCCTGTTCCTTTCCCATCCTCCTGGGGTGGAATAAACACAGGTCTGGACAGGGTTACAGGGAGAGCACAGCCTCCCTCTACATCCAGCAAGAGTAGGAAGCATCTGGTTCACTTCTCCAGTTGTGAGTTAAGAAAAAGTTCTGACATTTTCACCTCTGTGGAAGGAGCTTCTGTTTGGACTTAGGGTCCCATCTCTTGTTTCTTACTATGCCCTGTGACTTACCTAACTTCTCCAAACCTCAGTTTCCTCATCTGTAAAACCAGGCATTAGCGTATACCTGGAGAGTTACTGCTACCTGGTTTTAGAGGACTCCTGGCACCTCATTGTGGAGACTGGCAGCATTGTTCTTGGAGAGGGGATCTCCCACAGGATCACATGGAACTCACCATCAAACCCAGCACCGTCACAGGGACTCCCAGGGTCACTGCTCTGCTCAGAAAAGGGGTTCTGGGGACCAAAGCACTGACTGGTTCTTAGAAGCAGGAACCTCTGGCCACCTCTGCCCAGTCCCCACGTTTCCTCTTCCAGATACAAACAGTGCTTCCATCTCCTGCGGTTTGGGACCATGGCACTCTCGCAGGGCAGGTCTCTCAGTTGTCTTGTGTCCTTTCTGGGGCATGATGCAGCTGGTTCAGTCTCGGAGGCTGAAGCTTCTAGCAGACTTGAAAGCACAGGAAATGATTCCGTGTGCTCATTTCTGAAAGAGCTTGTTGTTGGGAACCTCAAGTGGTCCTGAAAATCACCCTTTCCAAATACATGGCCAGGAGAAACAAAATGGAAATGAAGGGGAGGAAGTGGTGTGACCCTGTGACAACTCAGAAATGAAGTTTTTGGTGGAAGCTTGCCGTCTGCGAAGCTTAGGTCAAGTTCTTCATTTCAGCAGTGAGTCTGCAGCCCTCCCTACACCATAGCCAAGAGGGGCTCCCTGAAGGTGGAAGAGTTGCCTCATCCTCCCTGTCCTATTCCTAAGCTTCGCCCTGAAGTCAGGGGCAACTTGTCAAGTTGGTGCAAGGGGCTCTTTTTTGTTTGTTTTTTTGAGACAGAGTCTTGCTATGTAGCCCAGGCTGGCCTTGAATGCACAGTGATCATCCTGTTTCAGCCTCCCAAGTGCTACCACACCTGACAGGGCTCTTATCTAGAAAGGAGACTAGGGGGCCGAATGATGAAAGTAATGGTTTTACTCTAAGGGCAGAGGGTCAAATAGTGCAATTTTATTTTTGTGATCTAACCTCGATTCTGCTGAAACCAATTTCCCCCTGGTCTGTACAAAGCAGGCGTGTTGGTGAACCTAGGCTAAATTTTATATGACGACTCCAGAAAACTTATCGGTCTATGCTTTCTCTGTATCAAACTGGCAGCAAGCCAAACTTAGTTCTTGAATAAATGCCCTCTCTCCGGAAGCAAGGCCATGAGTGATAACTGCAAAAGCATAGCCCTGAGAGCCTGAGCCTGTGGCTGTGACTCAACACTGTCCGCATCAGTGACTGCGGACTGCAGGTGTCAGCTCACCTCTCACGGCCTTTACCGTCTGCACCTTCAAAGGCTCAGAGGAGGACAAGAGTATCTTCTGGGTAGTGGCGTGGTACAGATCATACATAAGATCATGTATGAAGTGCCAGGCGCATGCAGGCTTCCAATGGTGTGACTTAAATAAAAAAGCTGGTTGGTGCAGGGTCGGGGATTAAGCTCAGTGGCACCACACCGGCCTCACAAGCACAAGGTCCAGAGTTCGATCCCTGGTACCAAAAAAAGGCTGGTGATGGGATAACTACTCCTTGAACCTGAACAGGGCAGCCCATCAGTTGGCCATAGCACAGGTGGCAGGAAATCAGGGCAGATAACCAGTGTCACTGCCAGTGTGGAAGGACGGCAGCTCCTGAGTGGGCAGGAGTTATCAGGGCCAGGAGACAGACCAGCACTGGGTCTCCTCTCTCCTCCAGAGCCGCATGGAAGAACCTGGGGGGCTGAAAGTCAGGCAGAGCTCTGGACAGTCTCGTGCAAGTAGGGAGTTGGGAGCATTCAGTTGCTCCTACTGGGTTTGCCGAATTCCTCCTCTCGGTTCTGGGACCAGGTAAGGACACTCTGGGCAGAAAGAAATTGTCAGCACGAGGACAGGCTGCAGCTTCTTAATCAGCCCAGGAGAACACAGCCCAGCTGAAGAGTTGTTCTACTCTCATTTAATTATCAGAGTGATTCCTCCTCCTCCTCTGTTCTCCCTAGGGTCATGCAGCCCAGATTCTCTGGGCCCAGTAACTGTCTCTCTGTTAACAGAAAGCATCAGTATTTATTACACTGAATGCACTGTAGCAACATTAAGGAGAGCACTTGGTGGCACATCACCGAAGTGAGTCTGCTTAGTGATAAGAGGAAAGGCTCCCTCACTGCTCTGCCTGCTTGGGCTGTGAGTGAGGAGAGGTCCGGGAACACAGAGTGGACTGCTCTCACCTTCTCCCCAGGGTGTCTCCTTGGGAGCATGGTCCTATGTAGGACACATACCCACAGGAAGCAACTTGTGCCTGGCACCCAGGGCCTTCTCATTTATAAACCAGGGAGTATAACATCGACCCCCAAGGCTGGCTGAGGATCCGGTGAGAAACACAGGAAGGAAGAACCCCATGGGGCCTGCTGTGGAAAGTGGGCCACACACTGCCCTCAGGCTGGGGTGATGCTGGCCCACATAGCCTGGCCCACACACAGGGCACAAAGGCTGCTTCTTCTCCAGCTCCCTGTGCCCAGCGATGGGCAAGCTCACCAGTCATGGCTGAGTCGGGAGCCCACAGTTCTGGGGTACATGTGGATCTGGGATGGATACCAGGCTGGCTGCCCCAACACTTGGTTTCCAGACACTCGCAGGAATAGCAGAGAGAACCCTAACTACCTCAGTGGGTTGTCACACTCAAATCACTGCCTGCCCATCCATGTGAGCTGTCAGCCCTGCCCAGAGCCTCTTCCCCTTTCTGTATGTGTGGCCTCAAGGGGGCTGGGCAGGTCTGGACCCAAAGAGCTGAGCTGGCACCCTTAGTTATGGGAGCAGTTATTGAACACCCACTTGTGCTTAATCACTAGCAAGGAAAGCAAAACTCAGAAGCCTCAGAAGAAGGCCCAAGTAAGTGGAGACCAGGGCTACAGGGCAGGGCTAGCTGCCCCCAAAACTGTCTTCACTCTCTTTACTCCCAGGAGTGTCAGCAGTTGGTGGAGTGGTTCAAATTACTTGTTTGGGGGACATTATTTAGGAAGCTTGCTTATTTGTAAGTATTGATGTGTTAATTCCTTGGTAGAAACTTTCCGGCATTTCTGGCTCCAAATTCTAGGGCTTATCTGGTAGCAGACTGCGCTGGTGGGCAGGAAGCTGTGGGGTAGGGAAGATGAGCAGGGTCTCTGAATGCAGCATGTTCTCAAAGCTCATGGTAAATCCTAGCAAGGCCAAATCATGGTTAGCTCATCTACATGCCAAAGGAGATGTGGGAGCAAATCCCACATCACTGTGCTCCTTAATTTTTATTCTATTTATTACAGCTCAAATTGTGCCCCTGCCAAATTCACATGCCAAAGTCTTAATTCCCAGTCACTCTGAATGCAACCTTATTTGGAAACAGGCTCTTTATAGAGGTTATATTAACTTTAATGAAGTTAAACTGCGGTCACTAGTGTGGGCCCTCCTCCAACACAGCTGGTGTCCTTATAAGTGGTACAGTTTGCACACAGATAAGAACACAGGGAAGACAGTGTGGAGACCCAGGGAGGGGACAGATCCTCTTCTCAGGGCCTCAGAAGCCACCCAACCTGCTGGCAGCTTGCCATCAACTCCCAGCCTCCAGATCAGAGACAACAAGTCTGTGCTGTTGAAGCCCCCCAGTCAGATACTGTTACAGCAGCCCCAGGAAAAGAACACACCATTCTTTAAATGCTTCCCTGAAACTGGCGGTGTCCCCTCACCTATCAGATGGAAGTTGGCGTTGCCCAGCTCCCGGCTGGGTCTCCTTCAGATCAGGTGGATGGTGGGTTTTACTTGCAGCAGTATATCCTCTCCAGTAGTGGAAGGAAAGAAAGGAACGCGAAAAACTAAGGCAGAGACTAAAGGTATCAAAGCAACAGGGGTGGGGGCCGGAGGTTTAGCTCAGTGGCGCCAGCACCTGACTGGCAAGCGCAAGGTCCCGAGTTTGGTCCCCGATTCCAGGGGTGGGGGTGAGGTGGGAAGCAACAGGGACAGGAGATGCAGGGAGGGATGTGGCTAGGGATCCAGGGAGAGGCTGTGGTCTTCGCTGCTTGGCAGTGACCAGGGTTGCTAATGCTAGATACACGGGAGGGCAGACTAGATCACAGGTGGGGAGGGTGGGCAGTTTTCAAGTGTTCTCCGCTCATTCTCTGTGGGGTGCCCTCCACATTCCTCTTCATTTCCACAAAATTACCCATAGCTGCCAAAGTGGACCCTGGTTTTGGGATTTGTTATTTACACGACTTCACCTTGGACCCTCTGACCCTGATATGGTACCACAAAGTTATACAACATAGAGGTTCTCAATGTGAGACATTTCCTCTGGTGTCCAGCACTGGAAGAGACATTCCCTCATCCACTGGGCGCTGTGGCCTGCGCCCTGGCTCCTCTCAGACGCTCACCTTACAGGGGTGAGGATCTACTCCATAGGTCTCCAACGTCTGCGCTTTTCTTAAGAAGTTCAGCTCTGATGTTGCTGGTGTTTGACCGCTGGAATAAAGAAAAGGATGATTTTACATCTTTGCATTCCCAGCAGTCCCCCGAGGCAAACTTTATTAAGGGCCACACACCTCTACTTCTCCAGGGTGTGCTTCCTACTGGGTTCGAATACCAGCTACAGAGCCTCAAGTCTAGGGTCAGAGTCCACAAGACTTCAGAATGAGGCCAAGAAGGAATCACCAAGGCTAAGTGTGTGCAACAGGGAGCAGGGGGTACTGCAGCACACTGGGGAGTACAGCTTGCTACAGCACAGGTGCTCCTCAGCTCCGGGACCAGTCACAGGAGCATGCAGGGCCTGGCACTGTTAGATATCATGCTTTTAAACAAGTCTGAAATACTAATTTTGTAATGCTTCATAATTCTCAACTCTGGAACAAACACAATGTACGACATCTTTTCTGTGATCTAACAGAGACTAGAATGCAAGAAGGGGCCAGGACGCCTTGCTGGTGCTTCCTGCCCTGCTCCTTGACCCTAAGGGAGTGAGGGCACTGAGGGCAAGGAGAAGCCGGCCCAGCCATCTGAGAGGCCATTGCCTGGCCTTCCCGGCTGCCTCAGTGGTGGCAGTGGCAGACGTGGACACTGTTGCCGCTGGGTTTCAGGGTGCAAAGCCCTGGAAAGTGGATGAGCTCTGCAGATGTGCGGTTATTTGCTGCAAGAAGGGCAGGCAGGCTGAGAGGTCAGCAGCTGTGCCAGCTCTCGGCAGGATCAGAAACTGCTAATTTCTAACTTTATCATCTGCCCCCAAAGACATGGCAGGGAGACAAGAGCACCAACAGCAAAGCAGGCCCAACTCTTTTGTGTCCTCTGAAATGACCTCAATCACATGCCAGCCTCTGTGCCAGGAGAAGCACACAGCCTGGGCCCTCAGAGTCAAGACAGGAGACACAGACAAGCTTTCCCACATTGAAGGTAAAGCTGTGAGATCTGCCAGCGAGTCCCAGACCTGGGGAGGTCCTGAGAATGCTGTGAGGCAGGGAGAGGCACAGCCCTGGGGCTAGAGCTCCAGTGTCTACTCCAGGAGCCCTGTTGGAGGGTGGCAGGCCCTATGGGCTCAGTTCCTCCTGAAGACTGCCCAAGTCTCCAGGGCCATCAAAGCGAGCATTTCTTAGGGGAACACCCGCTTTGAGCTAGGAGAACTGCCCCACTACTGTGATGTCTAAAACACTTTTGACAGTTCTGGGGCACCACCCCATTGTTTTTTCCCCCCTTTTGGAGACATGGTTGCATTATGTAGCCCAGGCTGGCCTGAAACTCCCAGTGATCCTCCTCCCTCAGCCTCCTGTGTGCTGGGATTACAGGTGTGTGGTAGACGGCTTTGAACCAGGAGATCCTGTACAGGTCCATATTTATTCTGATCCTTGCCACAAGGGGTCACTGTTTCCTCAGGACGCCAGGAGGGACCTGTGGGGCCTGCTTTGCTGTTCTGGAAGAGGAGGATAAGCACCCAGGATTCCAATCTGGTGGGGCCCCCACTCCCCTGTAGTCAGAGACCTGTCCTGCCCAGTGATGGTCAGGACATTTCCAAAGGCTGAGCTGGTTTTGGGCCACACTCGTAAAACCTTTGCGTCTTCCTGATGGCTTTTATTTTGGGGGAGGGGACTAATTTAAGTTCAGTATTATAAACAGCCCCATCTGAGTGCAGGCCTTCCTTAGAACAGTAAATATACAGCTCTTCCCAAAGATTAAAAAAGGAATAAAATGATGACATCATGGTTTTTTATAACCACTGTAGGCACCTGTGGCCGCCATACCAGGTAGAGCGGGCGGGGTGGCTGTGCTCTAGGGAGGTGACAGGGTGCATCCTGGTTCTGTGTCCATGGACGGCCGGCTTCATGTGGCCACATGCGTGCTGCTCCATGGTTCCCTGCACATTTTGGGCAAACTAAGAAGCTGGGGAAGAAGAGCCTCCCTGCTTGAAGCCACCTCTCCTCTGTGCCCCTTGGTGCAGGGTCAGGAACTCCAGGTAGGCGTGTGGTGCTGAAGCCACAGTTCCCAAACCATTGTGCTTTCGGGGTACCTGCACCTCAGGTTGGGGCCAGCCAGCCCTGTGCAGTGCATTTGACCGGAAGCCACCTCCGCCCGACAGACTGATACAGATGCCTGCCATTTGTTATGTCCCTGCTTGGCTTTTCTTTCTTTCTCTTTCTCTCTCCCTGTTTTTGTCGTGCTGGGGATTAAACCTAGGGGTTTACCCACGCTAAATGAGTATTCTACTGGTGAGATACATCTCCAGGACTCTCCGCTCTCCCTCTGTGCTGGGGTTGAACCCAGAGCTCCTTGCATGCTGGCCAAGTGCTCTGTCACTGAGCTACACCCTTGACCTCTGTTTGTCTGTGATGTCTTTCCTTTCCTTCTCCCTAGTCCACCTGCTTCACTATTTATCTTAGTGAAGCAAACATCTCTGAAGGGCCAGCCCCTGTTTTCCCTGCAATACAACTTCTCGCTGTGCACTGCGGCCTTAACCATCCTTCCTGCGAGTGAGCTCACAGGGCTGGGGTGCGCACCTCTGTGGGCAGGGTACAGGGTCAGGCAGCCAGGGACATCACGCCTGTCAGCGACTGTATGAGCACGGGGAGGTAGCTCAGGGTCCTGGGCACGAAGCGACCGTCACGCACCTGAGTTCTGTCTTGTGAATTTCAGCAATTTTCCTTTCCAGCTTCTCTGAATGTTTAGGAAAAAACTGGAACTTGGAACTGTAGCCTTCAGGATGTTTTCCTGGGTCATAATCTCCAATCTCCGCTTTCAAAAATAAGGCAGAATAAAACAGTTGTGGAGACAGGTAAATCACCACTGGCCAAGTGACACAAGAGGGACACACTGAGCAGCATCCACAGCAGCGTCAGGGTCAGGGAGGACACGGCCCACGGAGCACATCCTCCTTTGTCCTCCCAGGTGTGCTCACTGGGTTGATGTTCAAATCTAAACCATGAGCCAGAAGAGCTGACTTATGTGCTGAGGTCACCACAAACAAATTTGCAATAAAAGAGCAGAAGCCTGCACTGTGGTCCTCAAGCTCAATCCTGAGACCAGGGCCAGGAACAATGACCTATGTGGCAGGAGGAAGCAGTGAGTGTCACCCGGAAGACAGAACCTCCAGGGCCTGAGTCCTATCAAAAATCTAAATCTGACCGTGAGCATTTTAGCAGGGACAAAGCAAGTTGATAAATGAGCCATGATCTAAAAGAACTCCACCTTCTGTCCGAATTAGTCCCGATGAATACATTTTAACATTCACTGAAGGCCGAATGGGGGCCTGGAGCCTGCCAGCGACCCAGACTTGGAAGACTGCTATACCCAGTCACTGTCGCTGAGTCCAGGAGCACCAGGGTCTGAGGCTGACTTCTCAGCCATTCACAGAGGGGGCTCACCCCTAACAGCTGGGGGTCTCGGATCAGGGCCTCGGGGAGGGCTGTGGGCCATGGTGTATTGCAAGTCAGCAGCCAGTTTCCCCTGTGAAGAGCTGTGCAGGGGACCGGCTGGGAGTGAGAGAGGAGGCAGCCCCAGGTGCTTTGTCCTTCCTGGGGAGCCACAGAGCCTCAGATGAGGCAGGAGTAAATGTCAGGAGGAGAGCATGCCCTCTTCTCAGGATAAAGGCTTGTGGCTTGTGCTTTTTAAAAAAATTACATATTTACTTAGGATGCCATCTAAATTATGTGAGAATTTTTATTGTTTAGCAAGAGACTAAACCCTTCCCCTGAAATTTTGGGTAAGTTTGAACCTTGGAGTTATTTATTTTTATTTTATTTAGAAAGCACCAACTGGAAAACATCAATGTTGAAACACCAAATATTTATTTAAAGAAAAAAAATGAGAAGAATTTAATGTGGATATTGGGGCAAAACTGAACGGAGGACTAGAGTTTAAAGTTGCAGTTACATCAGGCCAGGCTTCCTCTTTTTTTTGTACCGGGGATTGAACTTGGGTTCTTGCACTTGCAAGGCAGGCAGTAGAACCACTGAGCTAAATTCCCAGCCTCAGGCTTTCTCTTTCAAAAGAAAAGGGGCATCTTTTGGGACCTTAAAACTATCAAGCACCAGCCAAATTTCCCATTTTGTTAATTTTTAAAATAAGAGTCTCAGAAGACTGAGTTTCATATTCTTAACACAGTTGTGATATTTTTTTCCTGCCAAAAGGACCTTCCTTTCTTATTGGCAAACAGTTTCGCTTCACAAAGGTGGGAATTCACAGATTCCCGAATATATCAGTTTAGATTCTCTGATAAAAACTTCATGATTTTAGTGCGTTAGCCCAGAACACTCCAGTGGTAATGAAAGTTTCAGGTAAGGACTAAGACGTTTAGGAAGTGGCACTGAAGCAATCTCAGCATTTGATGAGAGGAGGAGGAGATATGTGAAAGGTGTGCGTCTCTCTTTACTGCCTTGTGAGGAAAAAGTCAATCTGGGCATCAGCCGTGTAAGGTGCACCTCTCCCTTACTGGTACGTTAGGAGCTGTGCTTGTGACTCTGAAAGTTTTCACACCCCCGAGTAAGCACTCTGATAGTCTCTGACATAGATAACAGAATGCCACACTCTTCACAGCTTGGAGATTAGCATGAGAGGCTGGGACAAAATTGACTTCAATTACTCTCTGCAGTGTCGGTGGCACAGGGCAAATCCCACACAGAGTCAGGAGGACTTTGAGGGGCTGGTGATGAGGACTCAGATAAGACTGACAATGGAGTGCTTGGTGCTTTCTAGCCCTAGGGAGTCTAGAGAAAGATCCTTTGGCGTGGACTCTGCTTCAAGTTAGATATTGCTTAGACCTAAGAAGTAGTCATCTGTGGTCACTGAAATGATATAATCGGCACTTAGCATAAAAAGCAAATTTGTCTTGTCAAAAGTCATTACCTTGAAGGATATAAGCTGCTAACAAGGCAGCATCTGATGTTTTACAGAGGAGGCGGCCATGATAGAGATCCCTTTTGATTTGTAGGAAGACCAGATACCTGCAGAGAAGACAGAGGGGACGCTAGAAAGGATTTCTTGGGTTATTTTAAAGAAATAAATATGTAATGTAACACTATCAAAATATTTGTCATTTAAAAGAAAAAACTCTCAAAACATACTGTAGAACAAATACCGTTCCCATTTCCAGGGAGACTCTTTGTAGTATGTTTTGCTTGGAACTGATTTGAGGTTCAATTCAAAAGCAACTTGTCAGTTTCCTTCTGGAGCTCAAAACAGAAATGGCGCTTCCGGGTAAAAGCAGTGGCCCCAGCGCCCGGGTCTGGAAGGAACTGGCCCAGTCTGTCCAGTACCATCAGGGCAGCCTGCACGCCTGCTGCCTTGGCCTCTGGAGTAGAACAGCAGTGGAAGGAAGTGGCCCTTGGGCTAGTGTGGCCTCAGCTCTCACAAGGAGCCTGTCCGTAAATGGAAATAGCGTGCAACCGCGGCAGAAGCCAACCAGACCTGTCCAGGTCGGGACGATGTCTAAGAAAAGGCACTGGTGAAGAGAGCACGAAAAAGTCACCAGAAACCTGGGGCCAGCATTTCCTCAAGTACGGAGAGCTCACCTCACGTGGAGGCAGGGTGGAGGCGGGAAGCACTTCCTGCCCACCAGTCTCTGTTACACATTTTACACTGGAGACTCCATGTAATCGCTTATAAACCTGGGAGACAGCACTATCATTATGCCCATGTTTGCAGATAAAGCCGGGGCTCTTGTGATTCTCTCGTGGACACATGACTAAGTGGCACAGCCTGGATTCCAGTTCAGCACTGTTGGATCCACGAACTTGGTCTTAGTCCCTGCATTTTTTTTTTTTTTTTTTTT